ATAAACATATGTGTGTCTTTGTAGAAATGTTCACACAGATACACACACACACACACACACACACACACACACACACACACACACATATATATATATATATATATATATATATATATATATATATATATATATACATATATATATATATGTATACATATATATATATATATATATATATATATATATATATTTATATATATATATATATATATATATATATATATATATATATATATATACACACACACACACATATACATATTCACTGTATATATATGAATATATATACAAACTGTATAACTGTTTGTGTATATATATATATATATATATATATATATATATATATATATACATATATATATAATTAAAATGATCATAGAACCTTGGCCTTGGTTTATAGAAGCCCCTCCCCAGCCTCAGCCACCTCATCAACAATGGAATATGCGGTCCATCTTTTTAACTATTTTTATTTTGCTCTAAGAAGCTGCTCTTCTTTGCACATTATAAATAAAAGATTCCTGCAGTCTTCGTGGACTCTCCGCTACATACAATCAAACTGATTCACGAGCTATACAGTGGTGCCTTTGTTATATATAATTATGTGTTGTGTCGAAGCCGATCTCCGCGGCATGCGAGGAGTCTTTGTGGATATAAATAGAGAGGATTTTTCTCTCGACTCGCTTTCTCACATGGGCAACTTCGTGTCACATAATGAAATGGAGATGGCGCGCGCTTGCCCCAGCGCCGCTCGCCGTGCGAGAGAAGGTGCTGGCAGGAGTGATAGTGAGAGCCTTGTAACGTTAATAAGGGTTTTAGTGATAACGGTATTAATGGCTTTAATGATGATGGTGATCACCACCGTCATCATCTTAATCGCAATCATCACAGTAACAATAGTGATAATATTGATAAGAGATTTCATCCACGTCAACGTTATGGACGCCGCGCGCAAAACAACGGACGTCATTCAGCTGTTTCCTTGAATGATATCTGAGAGTTCCCTTTGTTTCTAGTTGACTCCACCAAGATTTCAAGCCTTGAGCACCGACTCAACTCGCAACAGAAACCGAGTTTGACAATTCGCTAAAACAGATCTAATTACGCCAAGATGATACATTAATCTCTAGCTGATGAAATGATGATTGAGCAGTATGGCCGACGATATAACCATTTGACTGAGGTTTTTTTTTTCAACTAATGTTATGTAACACCCAATCTGAGATTCAATGCAGGCTTCGAGACTGTTGGGAAGCTTTAGCTCTCCAGAAGGGACCTAATTGTCGGCATCAAGAAACGCCATTCTGAAATGTTCCTAAAAATGTGAATTGATTTAATTTTGAACGATTACCTGACCTTTAGCATAAATTTATGATATTTAAATTACAAATGATGTATTGTAGAATGATCATTGATTTGACTGATGGTAGAATTAAACTACTGTTTCTCTCCGCGATGCATAAAGGACAATTCTCAGAACGGTTGAGGAAGTCCAAAATCGATTTCTTCTCAAACAAAGAATCCATGCAAAAATAGACTCTTCTGCTGTTTGCTGTTAAGTATTCTGTTAGTTTCCATGCGTATCAGTTATATACCATCTCTTTTCTATTACAATAAAAACTAGGAGTTGGAGTCCCTTTGACTAAACCGGGAAGCCTGTTTTAACCTGAGAATCAATTCATCACGAATACGGCGAATTCATTTGTCCACGCTTATGTTGGCAGCTGAGTGCGAACAGCTGCCTGGCTTCTCGTGAAGCGACTGCGGTGCTTCAGAAGCCCAGCGCCGTCGCGGCGTTTTGCCTGTCGATATGCAACATCAGTGAAATAGTGTCACTAATAGGGACAACAGAAAAAAACGGGTGTGATAATTAGGATAATGATATTGATAATAGTGATAATGATGGTAATATAAGTGCAATGGTTACAAAAACAATAAAATAATAATGACAATAATAACGCCAGCAACAGACCAGCTGTAATGATATAATGATAATGATTATATCAATAATAATATGATAATAATAATAATAATAATATAACAGTAGTAGTAGTAATAATGATAATAATAATATTGATATTAATACTAATAATAGCGATGATGATAATGATAATATTGATAATGATATTTTGCCGTTCAAGAATCTTTTATTTGAACTAAATATTAGTTATATCATAATAACAACAACAACAATGATAATGGTGATAGCAATAAACTATTAATGATAATGATAATCATACCAGACGTTCAGAGGCATGTGGCCGGGCAGACTCCCCAGGAGGTGTGAAATAAGTCGACCTCCTCTGTCGTATTATTACTACGATTACTTCGGTCAAATCAAGAAAGAATAAAGAAAAAGAAACCGACACGTGATAAAAGAATTAAATGATGCCTCTACAACGCAATCATGTCAGACTGGCTGCTAAAAAATGGAGAAATGAAAAAAGCAAAACAAAAAGAGAATTCAAAATTACTTAAACTGTTTAAAGACGCGCTTCCTGAAGTCTTTCCTTTCTGTCTGCGGTCATGTACAAGCGCTAATGCGAGGTCCGTCGCCGGTGCTCGCTATTTTACAATTAATCCTCGAAGAAAATTTAGATAAGGATGTGCGTCATCTTTAGTGTTAAGCCTTTGTAATGTTATATTTCAGTAGAAAGTAAGTCGAATAAGAGACAGGCGACGAGTGGACTGTAACTTCATGACCGCCTTTACTAAACCCCACAAAAACTCAATACTCTGGATTCTGCATCACGAGGCTATCACGCTGAACAATAAAGTTCTGCCACGAGAGATAATAATTGGGATGCTTCCCCGACCGATACAAAGCTCTAGTGTTTATACGGTGCACCACAGCACACTTGCGTTCTTTTCTTTTTCAGAAAAGGCCATCACATCACCAGAAGAGTATTGCGTAAGTCATCTACCTTGAGTAGTAAATTGGATGTTCAGCTTCGCTGTGAGCGGTGATTCACTATGGGATGGCGCGCAGTGACAGAAGTGGATCAGAGAAATAATTCTAGCCTAGTGCCATGCCTGCGATTGGAATGTCGTCCAAGTAGGTTCTGACTCTCGCAACCTACCACCGGGCATTCTCGACACCGCGGCGTCAGAGGATGTCTGCGAGAATGCCCTAAACTAACTTCATGCCAACGCGATGGTTTTGATTCGTTCGACACGCAAAACTGAACACTGGTCAAAATTGTGTTCTCTACATGCGATAAATTGATGTCCGGCTTGGAATCTGGCGACGCCGGAAACACCCAGTATCTATTAATTGTTAATGTATGATGTACCATGGGTTAAAAAGTCGGTAAGTGACGCTGGCACAGCTGAAAGTCCTCAACGTGCCAACCCTGGTGTCTCATCATGGTTGAGCATGACCATAAACTGAACCGTCAAACGGACAATTAAAAATCCTTGGTCTGCGTCGTATAGCACACGACATCACCCAGCGAGCCCCCACGCGTTATACAAGGAGTGACATTTTCCCGCTGGCATTCGTATACTTGCCTGTGAAGTTTAGAACGGAAGTAGCACTCGTAAAAACGACTCTACAAAGTATGCATGTCCACGCAAAACATCAATAACAACATGCGAGCGCCACGTGCGTTGTGGTTTGTTTCATTTAAGTGTTCGAACTGTACACCGACTCTTAAAACTTAACATTACATTTACTGGCAATACGGAAGCCTGGTAACAGACTATAACGTCTAGGCTTAGAGGTGACGAGTGACGGCGCAGAAACGTCCATTCATCCTCCGGTGCATATCTTGCTTATGAACACCAGCAGGGACTACTGTTTCCTGGATGCACTCTGACAGATGGAGAGGTAGAGGAGCAGGAAAAATAGAATACAAAGACATACCAAGAGTGTGAGTGAGAGACAGAGAATAGAAAGCTAGAGAGAGAATACAAAGATAGAGCGAGAGAGAGGGGGGAGCCAGAGAGAAAACAGAATGGTAGAATACAAAGACAGGTCATCAGTGCTAGTGAGAGAGAGGAGAAACCTAGAGGAAGAAGAGGAAAGAAAATAAAAAGACAGAGCGAGAGAGAGAGAAAGTGAGAGATAGAGAGAATATAAGGATATCCGAAATATCCATATTTCTCATTTGCGGATGCGGATATAATTTTGGATATTTTATCCATCAATAGGAAATTGGATACCAGGTTTCATAAAATCTGCGATCGTGGATGTACTTGCTGTTTTTTTATTCGGATATTGTAGTCCAAGGAACTGTATGATTAGTTCTGAATAGAATCAGGAAATCATAAACTTTAGGAGTATACAAAATATGCCAACCTCCGCCCAAAGAAAGGAGACGAGGAAGGGCTTCCCCGCCAAGCGTCGTTCTGCGAGAAGGGAAACGCGGATGCAAGTTCTGTCTGGCGGCAGGTGGATGTATATTAGTTTTTCTGGAGTTGGAGAGAAGAGGAGCGTCCGTTTGTAAACATGGCCAAGCCTAATGTTTATTTTTTCAGGAAAACTTTTTGGATGGTTATGTTGACGCGCGCAATTTCCCCTCCATCCGATAAACAGAACCTCTTGGGCAGAAATACAATTTCTTTCTATGTCTCTCTTAACATTCTAGACTAGAAATTGGATGTTTTTGTTTGAGTCAAGGAAATTGGCGGGTAATTTCGGTGAGGTAAAACTCCCATGCCAATTTCCCCTTTCTTAATATTTAAGTTTAAGAGAACGTCAAGGGTAAAATAATTATCCTCGCCGGAACGACAGAACGGGAGCACATTTTTCTTACCCCTTCTTTCAGAAAGAAAGTTATGGCTACAGCGTAACGAATATTCAAATAAATACTGCTGTATTCTCGCCGTTAGATACGGCTTTTTTTCGTGACACTATTTCTTAAAAATATAATCTCACATGTTACTGCTGTAGCACATGCATTTAAATGATATATAAATTCAGCGCCAAGTGAAAACATAATTTGCAAGACTTGTGTGCGAATGCACATATAGTTATTTACATATAAGCATTTCTTTTTCAGAACAGAGATACAGGAACGAACTGTTAGTAGACAACGAACCTGTTCTTTTTGAGATACTCGACACTTGCAGCAAG